AGTCCCTTTTATATTTTCAAAAGCTTTCATAATACGGTCACACAGGATACTCATCATTTCCAATTTTGGACTTCATTACGAAGTCATAAATAAAGGTCATAGGCAGTATCTAAATTTTCTTCAGATGAGACGTAAAGCAAAGTGATACTTTTAAGTATCAGTTTGAGTCACCTTAAAAGGTGTCTTATAAAGTCAAGAAGTTGGCTAAGGCAAATAAATTATCTTTAAAAATAGCAGTGATGTCATGATGACGTCATTATTACAAAAACATGTAACTGGAATAACTTATCAGTTATCATAAATCCACCAATTTCCTTATTAAATCTATCCAATTTTACTTAAAAGCCGTATAAATGGAGGTAATCTAAACAGTAAATTCAATGTGTGTATAAAATGATGCTTAGGGAGGCAGAAATCTACAGGATTAACACTGTCGAAAACTAAACCAGCATCTGCCATTTGGTCATATTAAAGTCACGATCCTTTTTCTCAAACAAGTCACTGCAAAAGCCTGTATTTCATTGACAATTATAAATAATCCTATGTTGAGTGTAATATAATAATTCAATGAGTTCAAAATTGTATAAATAATTTATAGAAAAATGCAAATGTCTAAAAACGTGGTGGTAAAACTCTGTTGCCATGGTAACGTCAATGTTGACGTACACATCACGACGACTTTAATTAAGATAATTTTTAGAATTTTTTTGTTTTCAAGTTATTTGCCTTTTTACCGGGTCTGAATTGCGCTCATTTTCCTGGCGTGAAATTAAAATAACAGAGTACCATTGACAAAACTTGCAAAATCCTGGGTGCTAATGACTGATTTTATTATGTAATTTTATGTTCTTGTTCTGCTTTCTAGATTAACCTCGATCAGCTTAGTTCATTCTGACCCACTCCCCTTCATAAAGGATGAAGCTGCACCTAGTTTACATCACTCTTCTGGTTCTATGTCTTGAATATTCTTGCGATCAAGCTCGTAAACTTGATTCCCGTGTGAAAGAAATGTGCTTAAACAACACAAAACCCGCTTCCCATCTTTCAACTCTACTGGATGTCCAGAGGAGAGGAACTGTTGAATGTCCCGGCAACAGTACATGCATCTGCTCGAATAACGAGATATGCTGTAGACTTCAGGATGGAGTTCCAGATGTATATGTGTGTTGTTCCGGAGTTTGTTGCGGTGATTGGCAGAGTTGCTGTGAAGGTGACAAAGCCGAGTGCTATGACGGTCTTTGCCTAACAGAATGAACACCAGGCTGATGTTTACAAGTAGAGTGTATTCAGCTATTTTCGAGTTATGTACGCTAATAAGGGGACTCAATAACTTTAATTAGTTTTTAAGATGGAAGAAGCTTACAGCGACAAGAATGAGAAAATTTGTGTTTTACTGTATATGAAGACTGTCATATTGTACTGGAAAAACCATTGCTCATCATTAAAAGTTAATCGTGAATGAAAGTTCCAGTGCGTCTTATGTCGTGATGTTGAGAATGCCGCTATCAAGATAAACAATTTTCCATACTGAAAAACGGATTCACAAGAAGAAATCTCACTTTGGCATAATTGGCACTGCAAAAAAATAAAAAGATAGATGAAGCATGAAATTGGTCGAAATTGTTTGCGACTTATTTTGTACCAGGTTAACATATGTTCCTTGCAAAGTAAGGCTTTCTAATTTTGGCGTTTTCTTGTCTTAAAAACTTTAAATTCCCACTCTGTAGAACGAGCGGAGATACCTAATTACCGAACCTGGACTAGAGCTAGGACTTCGTGCCGGGACTCGAATGCTAGCTCGAGTCAGGGAGGAATGTCATACAACTTTTTAATTGTTGAGTACTTGCCCATAGTTTCGGTTTTTTTTTTTTTTAAAAAAAAAAAAGGAAACAATGAAAGAAAGGATTTCTCATGATGAATCAAATAGCTCGCCCAGTTCTTTAATTTATGGTAAGCAAACTCAATTTAGTACAACAATATGTCGCCCTTGATTTGTAATAAATGCCAAATGATTCATTCGCTTATTTGTAATCAATTACATTTATTTAGTTATTTTTTATTTGAATTAAAAGCAAGCCGACTAGCCCCCTTAGCTTCTTGGGGTAGATCTGTTTATACGACACTTAAAGTCACCAATGCGCAATTTGGCTATGTGCACACTAACCGATTCGAATAGACATATCGTCAAACTTATCAAGAATTGTCTTGATGGACAAGCTCCAAGTTATTTCTCAGATTATTTTCGACGGCGAACTTATGATATTCATGACTATGACACTAGGTCTAAGGATAGGCTATCTATTGATAAAGTCAATCTCGAGTTGACTAAGAGGGCCTTTTTTTATAAAGGGGCTACACTTTTTAATGATTGTATGTAGTTTTGTTCGTAAGGAGGCTACCTTTTTTTATTGATTATAATTATGTAATGTATACCAGTTTCGTATATAATTAAGTTTTTATCTATTTATTCATTTATTTTTATACAGGACCCACATTGATAGTAGTTTTTATAACTGAAATGGTCATCCTGGTTAAATCGAAACGAATTTCATGGATTATCTGGGGAAATCTATTCTCGTGAGCGGTCGGGTTTTCTTTTCGATAATTATGCGTGCGCGTGCAAGGCCGCTGTTCTTAAGGACTGTTTTTCAAATCCTTTTTCGGATTTCCCAAGAAAAAAAAAAACGGAAAGAAAGGGAATCCAAGAACAGATATTTTAGCGTTGAAATCCTTTTTCGGATTTCGCGTTCGATTGCAAATCCGAAATACAGTGGAAGTTCTCGTAACGGACACTCTCGTAACCGGAAAGCTCTACTTTCGTCCACCTTCACAAAACGCCGTTCAGTTTTCTCAAATCCCATACAAACTCTGTATTTTTACATTTCCTTCAGCGGCCAGTCCCTGTTACGGAAACTTCAGTTCGCGTTCCGAGGCCGTGTCTGCTTAAGAGAGCTTCCACAATGCGAAGTTTTTAAAAATCTAAATCCAGATTTCCCAATCGAAGGCAGCCTTAGCTTTGCAGGACGCCACGAAAAGGTATCCTGTATAGCGTAAACATAGCCATTATGATAGTTAGCGGACGTCAATTTTTTCCTAACAAAATCAATGCATCATCGAGACAAAACGTTATGAGAATTAAATGGCCACCTATAATGGCCTTCAAACTCTTTTAGCTAATTTTTTTTTAAGGAAATGAATGGAGGTCAGTCTTGAGATTTTGTATGTGGATATTAGAGCTTATAATAAGAAGTTAGGTTTTTTTTCAGCTGCCTGCATTTTAATGAGGCATTACTTAGTATTGTTATTTCATTTTTTTCTACAACCCCGGACAAAACTGTTGAGACAATTCCATCTATTTTCTAACTTTTGCGCCCTACTCCCGTCTCCCCTAAAGAAAAAAAGTAAACCCCTTCCCCACCCCCTATTCAAAGTTGTCTTGGTCTAAAAACCAACGTGTATAATTGCCATGCTATCCTAAACAACTTTGGATAAGGGGGGGGGGCAGAAATCGGGCATTCATTTAGCGGAGGTTTCAGTTTTTGCCGGGATGGCAGGAAAAAATAGGCATTTTCGCGATTTGTCTCAACAGGTTTTGTCCGGGGTTGTAGCACTTCAACCAGTAAAAGTTGTCATAGATATCTTGCTTCTTAAAACAAGAATTCCAGTTTATATTAGTGGGACAGGGGCGGATCCAGGATTTTTTTTAGGAGGGGGTGCACTCGTCTCTTGCTCTACTTCAACACCAATAAACCACATAGTTTTTTGGGGGGCAGAATACCAGTTGTATTAGAAAACCGCTGGTCATCTCCGGGGGGCCCGGGGGGGTGCGCACCCCCTGCACCCTCCCGCTACATCCGCCCCTGTGGGAAGACCCAATGAATGAGAAGACTAGCCGGCCAACAAAGGTCTAGCCACAACAGTTGATTCAAAAAGAGAACGCCTTTTTAATCTCAACAACAAAGACGACATACTGCAATACCTGACATAACCGGGAAATTTAAATTTCATAGCTAATAAATGATTTAAGACGAAAAGACAAGAAAAGTTGTTCGGGATATTTTTTCAATATAAGTAAATATTTCAATTTCTAAGAAAGAGCTAGTCAATAGCCAATTCAAACCAAAAGAATCTATTGATTATCTTTAGTTTTAAATATTCTACTACACCTGTTGAGACATCTATTGAGATCTATTTTTCCGTGGTGAGTCTTGGGGACCACGTGAGGCTGGACCAGAAAGAATTTGAGCTGATCCTATCGAACGTGATTTCAAGGTGGGAAAGTATCGAATATGAGGAAGGGCTGTTTTATATCTTCAAAAAATAACCATTGAAAATGCCTGGTTAAACTACGAAATTCCTTAATCAAAGTCGCCCAGTTCCTCGAAAAGAGGTTAATTTTGTCTCAGGATTAGGCCAAATTTTTAGCATGGTTTTTTTGTCTAGCGACATGAAACTCGAGCTTACACTAAAATACTATTGAACCTTTACTCTAAAATACTGAAATGACAACAAAAAATGTCACTCTAAGCAAAACATAAGGGTCAGGGTAGATAAAAAAGGAAAGATAATTTTAATCCCAGGTTAGCGCTAATCGGCCCTTCCGGAACCGGGCCCTGTATTGACAACCCTTGGGATAAATGACCAGATCTACTCTTTTAAGAGTCACATTCTGTTCGTGTTTAAAAGTCAATAAAACACTCTCGCTTGTATTAAATGAAATTTATAAATGAAAAGAAAAGAGGGCAATGTGTGGAAAGTGAATTATTGGGTCTACAGTTCTCGCCCATTTCTTTAGCTTTCTATTTTTCTTTGCCAAATATTCTGTTTTGCCCGCGCTTGATAAGAGGCTTTTCTCTGTCCTTTCAGATTGACATCGATCTCGCATTTTCCTGACCGGCGTTACTCTCCATCCGCAAGATGAAGCTTTACACGTAATTGTTGCTTTCACGTTAATGGTTTTATGCGCTGGATGCTCATGTACTACAGCACCCGGGACTTCTATGGAACCCGCGGAAGCTACTCTGCAACCAGCAAATCCAGCCAAACGCATTCATCCTTTAGATCTGTTAAAGAGGATTCACAAGATACACAAGAGGGGAATAAATTGTCCTGACGGCATGTCGTCGTGTCCATCTGGTGACACATGCTGTGTCATGTCTTCTAATGGGTACGGGTGCTGTCCACTTACTAACGCCGTTTGTTGCAATGACGGAGTCCATTGCTGTCCGGAGGATTACAGCTGTGGTTCAGGCGGCGACGTTTACAAATAAAGAACCAGTAATCAATCTGGTCACAGATTTATAGGAATAAGTTGTGGTTTTTGTTTTTATTAAATTAGAGGGTTTGTTTTCGACTCGAAGACGACCTAAGTGGGGTTATTTCAACTTTGCAATTGTTTAACCATCATTCATGCGCACAAATAAAAATTGGATGATTGTATAGGTCATGGAAATAAAACAAATGTTTCTCAGTTTAGGTTATTAATTTTCTTACAGAAATGTTGACCCACAAGTGCGAACTCCTTCCCACTTGTTATGAAAATAGGAAAATGAGACAAAAAGCCAATAAATACGACATGTATGACTAAAAAGCGTCGGTAGTCTTAAAGGGGCTGTGTCATTATGACTGACTGTGGTTTAAATCTTTAAACACTAATATCGAAACTGAGATTCTCATTTACCCTCCCTATACTTTTAATAGAAGAAGTGGGGAAAATTTGTTGCAATATTAATGAGATTTATCTTCCCTGATCATGTACTTAATTCTCATGACCAATCTGTTTTCTAAAGCATTGATATTTTAAGGAGAAATTTCATGTTGATCACCCTTAGTGCTTAAAGGGTTGAGAAGGAATCTACCAGGAAATTGAGTAATTTTAATTTTAAGTGGACAAAAACGTACCAGAATAATGTAAATGATATCGCTTTTTTTTTTTTACATTTTTCAAGGGCCATAGATGTAATTAAGTATCTGTAACAACACCAAAGATAACTTCTTATGAGAGCCCTAGAAAATAAATGTAATAAATGTCTAAATTCGCAAAATGACATCTTACACATGAAATTATTTTCAGAATTTTACCTGTGTTTTTACAATTCTTGTGAAATTTGACATTGATTTTCTCGGTCTTCTATGAAATAGTCTTTGTTGTTATTACAGATAACTAATTATATTTATAGCCCTTGAAAAATTGTTTAATTTATTCTGGGACAAGGTTTTTGTCCACTGAAAATTGAAATTACTCAATTTCCTGATGGATTCTGTCTTAAAGTCAATTCTTTGCTTTAGTCTCTACGTAGTGCCTTTGTACATACACAAAATGCTCTGGTAGTTATGAAAAAGAGAAATAAAAGTTTAAGCGGTGCACTGACCATAATAAATGTTTTGATGATATTTGCAAGCATATCATTAATGGCCAAACTTTTCCAAGTTTCAATCCATATCCATCCTTGCCCGTAAAGGAAACAGCTTCAACGCAAAAATATTCTTTTCAGAATAACAACTGAAACTGGACCATTATTTTCGAAATTCAGTTGATGAAGACAAATTCTAGCTTTTTAATTAGCTCGACATATCCCCTTCAATAAAAGCAAACTTGAAAAACCTTCAAGGTTTTTGGCTCCAAAAACCGTTGCTGTTTTGATCATTTATAGACGTTATCAAGTAAAATTCAAACTAAAGTTAAATTTCTATTGAATAGTTTGAGCTTATCTCGACAATTATATTGTGCTGGTAAAAATAGTAACAAAAAAGTAGCAACTAAAACAGCCAGAATGAGGTCTGATTTTTCTTCTGGCTCTGAAAGTTCTATTGCCCATTTCGCCTTTGAGTTATTAGTTACTTTTCATTAAAGGCAAACCACGAAGACTCCTCGTTTATAGCTTCGGAATTCGTAATTTACATTGGGCATGTATGTTAACCTTTTAAGTCCAAAAGTGACTAAATTCATTTTTCGCACTAGTCAGCAAGGCCACTTTTTGCGGAAAACTAATGAATACAAAACCCTATTATTGATCGAAAAGCACATGAAGTTTAAAAGTCCAAAAAAGCAATATCGCCTTTGATTTCTAATCAACTCCAAGTTATCCATTCGTATAAATTCATTTATCCATTTATACGGTTATTTGTTATTGAAAAGCAAGCTGAAAAATCCCTCAGTAAATGTGGAGATCTGTTTGTACGAATCCAGTACCTTGAAGGGTTGTTCTATATATAACCAGGCTCAAGAATTAAGTTGCCACGTCAGTAACTTTTTCGTCTTTGAAATTAATCCGCTTTATGAGTAATTTCTTAGATAAAGATTTGAGTCATCGTTAAATATTTATCATCAAAAATAACCATTAAAAATGCTTGGCTAAACTACGAATGATTAATCAAAGTCGCCCAGTTCCTCGAAAGAAGGTTAATTTTGTCATAGGATTATGCCAAATTATTTTCAGCAAGGTTTGTTTCTAGCAGCATAAATCCGAGCTTACACTGAAATGCTATCGAGCCTTTACTCTAAAATACTGAAATGATAACAAAAAATGTCGCTCTAAGCAATACATAAGGGTCAAGGTAGATAAAAAAGGAAACATAATTTGAACCCTGGATTAGCACTAATTGGCGCGCCCTTCAATTCGGGGAACCGGACCCTGTACTGAGTCACGACAGAAGTTTGCTTCCAATAAAGTTGTTTGCGAAAAGACAACCCTTCGGATAAATGACCCGCGTCACATTCTGTACGTGTTTTAATTAATCTATTAAACACTCTCGCTTGTATTAAATGAAATTTTTAATGAAAAGAAAAGAGGGCAACGTGCGGACAGCGACTCATTGGGTTCACAGTTCTCGCCGATTCTTTAGCTTTCTATTTTTGTTTGCAAAAGATTCTGCTTTGCTTGCGCTTAGTAAGAGCTTTTTTCTGACTTAGAAGACTGGCATCGATCTCGCAGTTTCCTGACCGTCGTTGCTCTCCACCATCCGCAAGATGAATTTCCATTTTTGCTTTCACGTTATTGTTTTTATGCGCTGGATGCTCATGTAAAGTACCCGAGACTACTAAAGAACAGGAAACTACTCTGCAGCCAGAAAATCCTGTCAAACGCATTCAGCTTAACATAGAACTGAACCCACGGAGCATTCCATGGAAGCTACTCTACATGTCAGCAATCCCTGCCAAACGCATTCTGCACAATAGAGAACCCCCGGAGCATTCCATGCCGGAAACTACTCTGCAGCCAGCAAATCCCGCCAAACGCATTCAGCTTCTAGATTGGTTGAAGAGTGGGATTCACAAGAGCGAAAAAAATTGTCCTCAACGCGTATCATTGTGTTCAACTAGTCAAACATGCTGTCGCATTTTTAATGTGTTTTTTTTTTCTCTGACATATATGTCGTGAACAGAAAAACTAAAAGTTGTCAAGACCATTTTTCCATCTCGTAAAAGTAGACATTCCTTTCCCCCTCTAGTCTCCCCTCGTTTTTTTTCTTCGTGAATTATTCTCCGGCACTCTATCATCTGAACGCCTGGAACAGGCTGTAAATTTACCCGTGAGAGTGGTGAGAGAGCTTTTTGTCTACAAATGTAAATTAAGTCTTGTGTAACTTTATTTAGCTGACATGCCCATAAATAAGCTTAAAACTAAATTTAATAGTTTTTTTTACAGAGTGGTTTCAAATACAAGAAGAGATAAACAAATGCCTTCAAAAGTTTTATTTTTCGGCAGGTAATAAACGCAACCGCCGTTCAGTCATTTGCGCGCCAAAATTATTGTAATCGTTGGCAGCAATAAAGATTTCAAAAATTATCATATTTTTGCTCAGTTGTCTCACTGTTTTATTATATACTAAAACGACTATTCACCTTAGTCAATATTTACCTCCGCGACGCGGCCAGGGATTTTTTTATCCAGCACAAGCCAATGATCGACAATAACAATGAGGTGAATAACTGCGTTCAATTCACCTCCCCTTTGGGGGATAGTTGTATAGTATAATATATTATTTTCTTAAAGAATAGTGACCCTCCCGTTTCAACTTCCTCTCTCCGTTTACTTATCCCGTGTCCTTGAAAGAGTGATTTTGTCTAAACGCAGCCCTCCTCTCACATTCTACCCGATTTTATCACACACAGAGTCACACGTACACCTTATTGGCCTGATGGATGATTTCGTGCAAAAATTTGCGTTGTCATTGCCACCCGATAGCTACCTTGAAGAAAAGTTATTAACCCCTGCCTCTTTCTGGGTAATTAACTTGACATCTCTTCCGAGAAATGCTCAAAAATAGCAGTTTTCTGTCCTATTAAGCTCTCTCACCTGTAAGTGTTTACTTGTAGGTTCAAGTTATTCAGAGCGTCCCAGCCCTGTTTCTCATAGAGTGAAATAACTTATTCGTAGCATTAGAAATTCAGTTTGTAGAGCATGCGCGAATTTAAAAAAGCGTTCATTCATAGTTATATGACTCTGCAACTGTCAGATGTCATTAAAAACTGAGTCATTGGATAATGCTGATTCTAAAGCTTTGACTGGCTTAGCCATCATGGTATATGAGCCATTAGTAAAATCCAACTAATGGTCTATTGTCAATGCTGCGTTCTGATTGGTTGAGCTACTACTAGGCTATATGTTATAGCCCACTAGTACCGAAAAGCGCCGGCTTTGAAAACCAAAACAATGGGAGCTGAATCATGTTTTGCTAGGTAAAGTTGTTTTGTCTCGATATTTTTGACCAACTATTGGATTTTACTAAAACAATTATTCCTGAGTCAATTACCTTATAAGGCCGAATTAGAGCCCATTGAGGCTTGAGGAATAATTATTGTTAATTAGATTTTAGTCTTTTTACTGTAAGCTCTTTAGTTAAAACCTTCCTAAACTCTTGTAGTTCATTTAACTTGAGCAGATCAAATCGCTTTCTATTTTGTTCCATAAAACCATACTCCTGATGCTGAGTGCTTATCATACATGTCCGGTTCAACAACTTGTTCACTAACATTCAATGATGATCCCCGTGTGAGATGACCGAAAGACCTCTCACAATGTGTTGCCAAATCAACCGAGGCGACAAAAAATGAGTCCAACCCCCCAAACCACAATTGAAGCAGTTTATTTCAATGCAAAATTTATAGCCTAAAGATTTCAGGCTGCAAGCTGCCGTTCCCACCCACCCACAATACCATTTATCCATCTACTACTTGCAAATTAAAGTGGCGGTGTCATGTCTGTCTAGTTAATATTGCCAATTAATGGGCTGTGGAACTTGACGTTAACGAAAAGTATTCTTCTCAAGCATTATACCACACGTTACTAACAGCTAAAATGAATTTTGAAAAACTGTTAGGCTAAAACAAGATTGTCCATTCGCGCCTCTTTTGGTAGTTGCTGTGTTGCCAATACCTACTCAGTTAAATGATTTAAGCGATAGTTTTCCTGTTTTGCTCAATTTGGTGTCAGTCCCTGCAGTTAGAATGTTTTTAAAATTCGTGACACAGCTCCGTTTACTTAATATACATTCAACTCTCTCTAAGACGGACACCTTTGGGACCGGCACTAAGTGTCCGTCTTATAGAGGTGTCCGTCTCATAGAGAGTCAAATAAAGGGAGTAAAGAAAGGTAGGGACCAACTCTAAGTGCCCGTTTTACAGAGGTGTCCGTCTTATAGAGAGTCAAATAAGGGGAGTAAAGAAAAGCAGGGACCAACTCTAGGTGTCCGTTTTACATTGGTGTCCGTCTTATAGAGGTGTCCGTTAAGAGAGAGTCTGACTGTATTCTAACATAGCACTCAAAAGCAGAATCTTGTCCCATATTTCGTTTTCCTCCTTTATAAGGTATACGGGCTAGCCAAAACTAAGACCTTTAGTTACCAATCCCAGCGCAAAGTGATGGTATTGGTCCACGCAGAGATTTCCAAAACATTTTTGCTTCAGTGTCATAAAAGAAAAGACAGCCCTTTGGTCTTAATCCTTTAGTGCATGATTAATGTATGTTACACAGATAACGTTAAAAATGTCTCACTATTAAAAAATTTCAGGATATTCCAAAATGACGAGGCAGCATTGATCACGTACCATTTGACCCGCGCTTAATTTAGAGGGCCAAATTCTAAGTGGCAGCAGTATCGGATTAACTGAATCTCCTGCTTTTTATCCGTTTCCGATTAACTCTTCAAAATAAATACTGAGAGTAATCGTTTTTAATTACATTAAAACGCTTACAATCAGCTCCCTCGGAGAGCCACACAAATGTCCGTCCGCTTTTCAAGACTAACCACATCAAACCGCAAAACAAACCGACAAATTGTTCGTTCAAGCTTTAACGTTAGTATCATATTTTTATTTTATTTTTTTTTTCAGATCCTTTACTGTAACCCTTGGCTCGATGAGCCGGATATTTCTTGCTACGTAATATCTCTTCAGTTCAAGTTGTCAAACCCAGCCAATCGAAATATAGGTGCTTAGCCAGCATGAATGTATAAATAATGGCGGTCAAACTGTCAAACGTTAAACGTTTTTTTCCTTTTCATGTCATCAACCGTGACGAGCTGTCAGTGGATTGCACTGGAAGAAGGTAACTCTAAAAACATATTCGCTGTAAGTTTTAATCAGCTTCGCTATGTCCTTATCGCTTAGAATTACGGCCTTTTTTATTTCCGTATCATTACTATAACAAAATTCTCAAATCTGATTGGCTTTCAACTGTTCTGATTTATTTAGGTAATAGAACAGTGCAATAGGACAGTCTGCGCCATCGCGCGCACCCAGTTAATGGCTTTTATTTCTCTTCTAGCCAAAAAATCTCTTGGAATTTCTTGGATCTTAATTTTTAAAAACCTAAAATATCACAAATTGGTAACAGAACTTCGGGTCGTTCAAATTAGTCGGTAATCATACTCGTGATTAAACAAATCCGATGGACTCAGCTCAGTCCTGTTGCCATTGTTTGTTAATCAACAAACTGGGAAAGAAAGCCCATAAATAAGAAGATGAAAAAATAAATACAAAGAACTTTGTCCAGTAGAAAACATACGTGATGATAATACAGGAGAAGTAAATTTTAGTTTTTTAAAACTCGTATAGAATCTCGCCAAAAAGGGAACTATTTCCCATTGGCATGGAAGCCACACAAACGCGCACATGAACTGTTTTTGGCATGAAATAAAAGCTGGCAAAGAATTCAACATTATCAAAAACTCAAACTTCTGCTTCTTGTAGGCCACGTATTAAAAATTGTTGTTCGACGAACTTACGGTTAATGACTTTAAAGTCAATTTTAATTTTGCATATCGTCATTAGTGAAGTAAAACTGAGGTGTGTATAATGCAGGAAAATTTTATAGGTTCCTTTTCTTTTCTTTGCTTTTCTTTTTTCTTTTTCTTTCTTTCTTTCTTTCTTTTTTTGCCCTTGTTTTTTTTTTTTTTTATACAAAAACCAATCTATACATATTTAGGACAATTAGTTAAGTCTTTAACTTTTGTATTTTATATCTTTAACCACGACTGAAAAAGCATCTCCTTATATTTGTTATATTGTAAAGTAAAAATAAGTTATTTATAATTCAATAAAATTTTTTTGTTTTCTTTTCTTTATTTTTCTTTTTTTTTTTTTTTTTCTTTTTTTCTTTTTTTTTTTTTTTGCCCTTTTTTTTTTTTTTTTTAACACAAAAACGCAACTAAAAGTAGTTAAGACAATAAGTGACGGCTTAAGTTATTGTATTATATAGATTTAGCCAGGGCTAAAAGCGAAGCTCTCGATAATATTTATAGTTTGTTCAAACAAAATATAAAAACGTGTAATGCTAAGTGTGCTGCACGTGCAGCACACTTTTTTCTTGTACGTCTCTTTGACGTTGTTTTGCACGACTACAACGTGAAACTTTCAGGTTTTATGTAAGAAATGTCGTATTAGTTCTCGCCCACTTTTTTTTCTCATGGCAAGCCGCCACTTAATTTCATTTTGCATTGGTGGCCGCTAGGATTTGTCATTTTCTCAACCGTCCACCGTTACAAAATTTGCATGTTGTTCTTCCAACAACAAAAAAATGTCTCCTTTGTTTTTTATCTCTCGCTCTAGATCTCTGCCGCCCTTTTTTTCGTTGAGCTTCGCTGGCCTGCCCGCCTACTTTCTCTTTTTCTCTGTCTTTCTCTTGCTCTATATTCCGAATTGTGGACGTGACAATTAATCTAAGCTTAATATAACACGGATACAGAAACAATTTCCGCTTTCCGTTTTTGTCTTTATTGACTCTTTTGTTGTCTCTGCATTACAAGACGCGGGTGGCTATCCGATTTCCCGCCAAAATAACCTCGAGTTGCATTTGGGTTGCCTTACCTGTTGATTGAGTTAATTTATATTGGTATGTCTGTGGTGCGGACGGACGGGTGGACGCGCGGACTGACATACGGTCACGTGATTAACAACATTTTTCGGATGGGTAGATAACTACATTATCTTACCCATGGTCCTCTGCTTCGTGCGCGAGAGCTCCGCTATAATGCTGTCAATGTAATATCTGTAAGTACCGGTGTTTAAAATTTTAAAAGAATATACTCAACAAAAACAAAACAAACAACGCTTTTATTTCCAAAGGTGTAAGTAAACATAATATCATTGAACATTTATTTTATTTGATATAGAAAAGTAAATAAACAATGGTCATATTCCACAAACCTTGCTTATGACTAACAAGTTTTGTTGTCTAATTACAAAAAAAGAAAGAAAAATTGGTTTTGAAACGTTTTATAGTACCTCGCTTGTTATTTTAATTTTGTGTGAAAGTCTCTAGATTTGAGTCCTATTAATTCTTGTTTTATGTCTTTTGATACTCTTGCGAAGTCGATAAACATGTTCGACAGTTTAAAATTCGTATAGGGCCGGATTACAGATGTCTTACACTTAATAATTACGCTTGAGAGAGCCATTAGTCTTGATTCTATAATAAGTAGGTCATATTTCAGCGTAATATAATTCTAACTTCGACTCTTTATCTATTTTAAACAGATGAAAGTCTCCTTGATTGTTTTAACCGTGTTGGTTGTAGTCCTCGGATGCTTTGGCAAAGAGGAAAACGTTGCCGAGAAGCCATTGCAGAAAAGATCTTTGAAAGACCCACTCAAGCTTCCAGCGGTGATGGCACGGAAAACACGCAAAAGGCGATATGTAACCACGTGCCCCTTTGATACCACTCGATGTGACAGCTGGACTGGTTCTTCCATTTGCTGCCCAGGATATAATGCTGTCTGCTGTTCTGATGGTTATCACTGCTGTCCAGAAGGATATACCTGTTTCAAAAGTGGTTATTCTTTGGTTCATTGCTCAAAGTACCTTGACAAGACAGCTTGATTTCAGCTGCCGGCATATTTTTGTTCTTTTACAGCTAAGGAGTCACTGCTAGTAACGATATGCATTTATCGCACCAATCAAGACCGATTGAAGTATTAAATAACAATTATATTCTTTAAACAAATTCTTGTTGAAAGCAAAAGCTTACAACAACTTAGAGTTTGCACTCAGCTATGTGATTGTTATAGACTGGTTATCTAAATTGTGCTTGTAGCTTTAACTCTTGGTATAAAATAAAATAAATTCACTTATGGAAGCAAACTTTTTGGCATCTATGTCTCTATTAATGGTCCTGATTACAATACTGAGTGTCGGGAGAGGTGTTCCCCTTTCTTCTTTTCGTCTTTGATTTGTTGTGTATTAAAGGCGTGGCTCAAGGTTTTCAAAGTCGTTCAAGTTTCCATCGCGCGAGGAACACATGTGGATCGCTAAGCGCTTTAGAATGAAATCAGTCATGGGCACGTGATAAAAATGTCAGTATGATTGGCTCGCTCGAAGACAATATATACAAGACAATTTTTACTCCAGGAGTAAAAATCACCCCAAACTTGGAGTTAAATTAGGAGTCAAAGTAACCCCCATAAAAGGGGTTATTCTGTACCTAAAAATTTTACACCATTTTTGGAGTTATAATAAGTTTCTAAAAATTACTGTGCACTACATGCAATACAATTCCTCAACCGAGCTATTATAAGTTTCTCTAAAACTCCAAAACGTCTGTAGTGTTATCTCGTTTTCTTATGGACTGATCAGGTTCTTCACACCGGCCCATAGCCGTGCATCTGGTGTCAACAGGACAGCAAAAATTGTAATCACAACACTTGCCATGGGTATAAGGACAGCAGTAATAGCCACCTGCATCAGTTATTGGACAACAGGTGGAACCAAATAGACATTCACAATCAAACTGAACTTCTCTGCTTATCGCAGCTTTGCCGGTTATAACAGACAGTTGAGGGTTGTAGGCGGGACGCTCGTCTGGTGTTTTCTCCACACGAATCAGGTGGAATGACGCATCTTCTTGGCAAAAGGACACCAGGAGTGCAATCAGGAGCAAAAAAGAAATCTTGTACCATTTCATCTGTAAAGGAAAAATTATATGATCGTAATCACCAGTTTAAACGAGTCCATAATGCACCTTGTTTGCTCCCCCCCACCCGCCCCTCCCCCAGTTTACTATACATAACCATTGTTTCCAATTTCTCCTGGGTATTCAGTTGTCCCTAGAAAAATCGAAGACGATGGTTATGCAAAATTTGGGGGGTAATCAAAGTGCCTTATGGTCTAGGTGAAAATGGCGAGTTATTTATTGTGGTGGGGGCACAACCTCGTCTCCAGTGCTTCCTCCTTAGAAAATGAGAAGAAATAAAAGCACTGGGAACGAGGTTGGTGGAGGAATTCCTGTTTTAACACGCCCGGTCACTAATTCATCAGACATGACAAAATCTATGAATCGATTTATGTCTGTTGGACGCTTATTTTTTGCGAAAATACAGACACAGAAAGGACACTATTTAATAAGTTTGTACTTGACTATTGCATAATTTAGCTCTGGTTAAGGTCAAATTTAGTACAGTACACAGCCGTTTAAATAGTATCTGTATTAACGAGGTCATAATCTCTGTACGATTACATGTCGATATAGACATAGTTTTTAAAAATTTATTTCATGTTCAAGATTAAAAAAGGATGTGATAAATTAAAAAGTTTTTAACTGACAAACAGGGCAAGTTTAATTCCTTTTCATTGAAGTTCAATTCCATATAAGACTTTCTGCTTAAAGCTACTGCTCAGTAATTAACGTTTTACACTGCATGTGCATGGTATCACGAAGAATTCAAACACACTGTTCAAACGTACTACGTCTCCTTCCACTTTATCGATAAATCACACACAATATAAATTCTCGGTGTTACATTTTCTACACTCTTCATATTTTACCTTATTTTGAAGTAAATTTTCCTCGACAACTTTCGGTTTGCTTCCTTAGTTTCGTAGTTAGTTTTGTTTTGACGGAATGTAGGTTTTAAAAATAACTCATGATACCATCATGATAACAGACTTCGTTAACTTTGAAAGACTTCGAACTAAAATCTTGACGTGGTAACCTCGTGATACTAGCGAGAGAGGTTTGTCTGCGATCCCCTTCATTGCAGATTTTGGCTGCGACTTTGGCTCTTGTTATCTAATATAACATTTATTTGTTTATTTATTTAAACAGGATAATTAAGTTATTATTATTATTATTATTATTGCTATTATCATCATTATTATTATTATCACTACCTTCATCATAATCATCGTCGAAGCAACAACAATAATAATAATAACTTAATTATCCTGTTTATATAAATAAGCAAATAAATGTTATATTAGATAAATAATCGACAAAGTCGAGGCCAAAATCTGCAATGAAGAGGATCGCAGACAAGGCTCTCTTGCTTGTATCACGAGTCTACCACGTCAAGATTTTAGTTCGAAGTCTTTCAAAGTTAACGAAGTCTGTTATCATGATGGTATCATGAGTTATTTTTAAAACCTACATTCCTTCAAAACAAAACTTGCTACGAAAATAAAGGAAGCAAACCGAAAGGTGTCGAGGAAAATTTACTTCAAAATAAGGTAAAATATGAAGAGTGTAGAAAATGTAAGACCGAGAATTTATATTGTGTGCGATTTATCGATAAAGTGGAGGGCGACGTAGTACGTTTGAAGAGCGTGTTTGAATTCTTCGTGATATCATGCACATGACTGTGTACTAAAACGTTAATTACTGAGCAGTAGTTTTAAGCGAAACGTCTTATATGGAATTGAACTTCAATAAAAAAGAAACTTGCCCTGTTTGTCATTTGGAAACTTTTTAATGTATCACATCCCTTTTTAATCTCGAACATGAAAATAAATTTTCAAAACCTGTCTATATATCGACATGTAATCGTAAAGAGATGATGACCTCGTTAACACAGATACTATTTAAATCGCTGTGTGCTGTACTAAATTTGACCTTAACCAGAGCTAAATTATGCAACAGTAAAGTTCAAACTTCATTAAATAGTGTCATTTCTGTGTCTGTATTTTCGCAAAAAATAAGCGTCCAACAGAAATAAATCGATTCATAGATTTTGTTTATGTCTGATAAATTAGCGAGTGGGCGTGTTGCAACGAGAATTCCTCCATCAACCTCGTTCCCAGTGCTTTTCCATTTTTTGTTTCCTCCCATTTTCTAAGGAGAAATCACTGGGGACGAGGTTGTGCCTCCGCCACAATAACTAACTCGCCATTTTCACCGAGACCATAATGCACTTTGATTACCCCCCAAATTTTGCATACAAGATGCATTATGGACTCGGTTAAAATCGTGATTACGATCATATAATTTTTCCTTTGCAGATGAAATGGTACAAGATTTCTTTTTTGCTCCTGATTGCACTCCTGGTGTATTTTTGTCAACAAGATGCGTCATTCCACCTGATTCAGGTGGAGAAAACACCAGACGAGCGTCCCGCCTACAACCCTCAACTGTCTGTTACAACCGGCAAAGCTGCGATAAGCAGAAAAGTTCAGTTTCATTGTGATTGTCTGAGTGGTTCCACCTGTTGTCTAATACCTGAAACTGGTGGCTATTACTGCTGTCCTTATACCCATGGCGAATGTTGTGATGACTTGATTTTTTGCTGTCCTGAGGGCACCAGATGCACGGCTCTCGGCCGGTGTGAAGAAACTGATCAGTTCGTAAGAAAACAAGATAACACTACAGACGTTTTGAAGTTTTAGGGAAACTTATGGCAGCTTGGTTGAGGAATTTTATTGCATGTAGTGCACAGTAATGTTTGGGACTTATTATAACTCCAAAAATGGAGTAAAAATTTTAGGTACAGGATAACTCTTTTTATGGGGTTACTTTAATTCCTAATTTAACTCCAAATTTGGGGTGATTTTTTCTCCTGAAAAGGAGTTCTTTTTACACCCAGTCTCGAGTTAAAATAACCCCGAAAATGGGTTTAATGTTACTCCTTACATTTTTTTTTTACCCTTTTTGGAGTTACTTTGACTCTGAAAGTGGAGTTAAAATTTTAGTTACAGGATAACTCCTTTAACTCCTCCATATCTGGGGTCATTTTTACTCTTGAAAAAGAGTTCTTTAAACTCCTTTTTGGAGTTAAAATAACTCCAAAAAAAACTGAACTCCGCTGTAAAGAGTTAAATTAACCCCACTAGAGGAGTTATTTTAACTCACTGAAAATTACTGTGTGGACAAAACCTATAAAAATGCAGTTGACGCCACCCTCCATTCAACCTTTGAAAGGTTGCCATTCTTGGGAAAATCGAACACCGATTCCTTGGGCTGCTCTGACTCTGGCCTGACCAACTTTAACATTGCAAACTAACGATAACAAAACATAAATACGAGGAAAGGCTGTGACAATTAATAACATGATAACCAAGGGGAAAATGCTTTGAAGTTTTTTCTTTTAAAAAACCTCGCAACTAATTCTTTAAATGAATAAATAAATAAATGGAAATCAGTCTAAAGAATTTGTATGTGGATGTTGGGCTTAAAGAGCCTCGGTTATGATATAAAAGTCCCTAATGAAACAAATTCATATTTACTGTGCAACAAGAAATCAGCCCGGAGAGCATGTCCATGCAGTAAACTTGCGTGATGGCGAACGAGTCCCTTAACTTGGAGTTAGGACCAATATGGACAGATGGCAACTGTACTGATACCCTGCCGGCAGTGGTTTCTCCAGGACGGACGCTACGCTATGAAAGGAGAGAAACCATTGCAAGCAGCCGTCTGATTCTTTGATCGAGCCGCCGTCCAGCACCGTGGGCGAATAAATTAACTTTAAACATGTAAAACCTGTTTAAAAACAGGTTATGGCTTTCGCGTATTCGGCATACGCTTACAACTGCTACCATAACGCGAGCTAGCCTCCTGTGAATTTGCACTCTTTCAATTCAGTATTCTTTGGGATTATTCCTACCTACTTACTTTGTCAAATGTAGGCGAACGCAACTGGAGTTGAATTCCTGGGGACCCGGATATCCAAGTTCACAGGGCTACCCAACGAGAATATAGTTCAAAACCACTTAAGCATAGCATTGTTAAACGTATTTTGGTATTTAAACGGTAGATATAGGCATATTCTTATCCCCTAAAAATTTTTCATCTGTTCGGATTCCCTAGCTGAAAGTCTAGTGATCCGAAAATTATAGGGATCAAAACTTACCTTTTCGAAAATTTCAGCCAGAAAAAAGGCTCCCGAAAATTCTAGGTGACCTTTTTAGCGTAAAAATTCGTCAAAAATAGACAATTACACCATTTTTTAGATGTTCGAAAATCCTAGGAAAAGCAGGCAAGCAAGAAATTTTACGACAAATGTTCCGAAAATTCTAGATCTCAAATAGTCTTCCGAACAGATATTTTTCCGAAAATTGTCGTTGGGTGCCCCTGAGTTCAAGCCGGAAATGAAATTTCGTCGTTCATTTTTTACGTTCTCCGTAAAACGCGAAATCGGGCATTTTCACGTCGTAGTAGTGCAAAAATGACAAAAGAAATGCACAAAAAAGCGTAATGCACGTTTTTGTGTTGACGTTCTCGCTGCCGTTTTGTCGTTGGATATTTTTAAATGTAAAAACGAAATGCGAAACAAGAGGAAGTGGTGCCATGTGACGTTTTAACGTAAGCATCACGTGGACGTGCATGCTCGATGGAAAAGCAAACGATTGCTCGCAGTGGTTTCTCTCCCATCGTAGCGTAGCGTCCGCCCTGGAGAAACCACTGCTCGCAGGGTACTACACTGATAACTAAAAATATCAATTTTAAACTTTTCTTTACACCACAGTTTTGTCTGCTTATTCACATTTTTATGAACCTACCGTGTGGCACGAAATTTTTGCGGGGTCTAATTTTAAATAAAAACTGCCGGAAACATTTTTCCCGCAAAAATTTACTTCAGAGTAAATATTCTCTAACTTAAATTCGCTACACAAAAATACAGTACTAAGAAATCGTGTCTGTTCAATCACAACTTGTGCTCTTTCATTCAGAAACAAAAAGGTATACAACGAATTAAGTACTGGTTTATTGTTTGAAAATATGTATTTCTATTGCACGTACTAAATAAAAACAAGAATATTCTCAATGCTGGGTTCTTTCTGAAAACCGCAAAAATTAATTCCCAGGGAGAAAAACCAATCTGTCCTAATCGCAAAAATTAGTTCCCGCAAAACACAAAAAATCGCCAATCCGCAAAAATAAACTCCCGCAAAAATTGCGTGCCACACGGTAAGTACGTCTACGCACGTAAGTTACTTATAACGTCAAAAAAAAACAAAATCAATTTTAAAAAAAGACCAATTGCAAATGTCCAACCGCTTTGCATCTGTAATGTTAAAATACACTAGAAAGTAAAGTTACTCTAAAGTTAACACGCAGGCAAGTGTTTTTGTGTTTCGCTGTGTGAAAGGTTTTACTTGTAATAATTATATTGTGTTTAGAATTGTAACTGTGATTGTCAAGACATTCTATTGAAAGAGTACGGTCTCCCAACAACGAAGAAACAAAACCAAACAAAAGGCCCTTGTCGATAAAGTAAGGTCGACGATGCTTTAAAATACGACGAACTCGTACTATAATCAAAGATTATTTGAATTTTTAATGAAGTAATATATCATATATCGTACATGCGCTTAGAATAACCCGCCGGATAAGCAACCATCGCCGCTGCCAGCAGCTGATCAGCATCACTCGAATACGTACGTACGTAAAGGTAAATACATTATTGTTGTATAAATCTAAAGTTATACTAAAAATGGTTTATCTTCAACTCTCTCTTCAACTCTCAGAAAGAAAGCACCTGAAAATGTGGTTTCCTTAATTTGACGCAAAATTCAACTATAATTATGCGGGTCGTAATATTTTGTAATTACAATTTGCTCATCTGAATGAAAGCCACCGTGCTAGTGCTGTGGTCGACAGCTCTGTCCTTTAACTTTTCATTTTCTAGCTGGATAATATGTCTGTCAGTGTTACTGAAATAGCCATTCTGTATTTCGGTTATACATCAGGTATACCGCTCTATATTTTGAAACGGGAGATTTGTTTTCACGCATTAAATAAACTTAATTTGAATATGTGATCTTAATTTTTCCACCATCGTTGCTGCTATAATTCTAACTTATATCAGTTGTTTTGCGGAACGTTACTCTTTACTAAGAGAAACATCTTAAACTTATGTTTATGACCAATAAGTTTCTTAGAATTCTTTGTCGACGTTAACCTTATAATCAAGAAATATTAGATAATCACTGGCCAAAAACCAGCATCGATCTGCTGTACAGTTGTGCTATTTTAAAATATTGTATACCACTAGCTGCTTTTGCATTTAAAAACGAAGCCATTTTAGAATCCGAACTCATAAAGCCTTTTATGTTTTATTATGAAAAATGTACAGTTATGAGACTTCGTTAACACTGGTATAATACCATTATATTTTTACTATTACTTTCCTCGAGAGATTTTGTCGAATGGAGAAAGTTGAACGAGAGCGAAAATCATTTTTTCTCGGCTTGCTCCTACTTTTGCACAAGAAATAGAGCGAAAACGCGTGCTACATAACAGAAGCTATTTAACTGAAAAGACACCAGTTTCTGTAAAGTTTACCATAGTTTCGTTATGAAATTTTTCTTTAAAAATGCTAGAACCCAAACCATGCATGATAATCACTGTTCTAGTAATAAATGGGCAATAATGATTGCCTGCTGAATTTCAAATTTTAATTTATTTTATTTTCCATTGTCGAGTTACAGAATCGATCATATTTTTCCATGATCATGTCAAAAATCAAGTGTAGCCACGAGCCGAAGGCAATTTCTCAGCAAATCATTCCGAGCAAACGGAGAAAAAATTTTTCATAAATGAAGATGAATGCCTTTAACTTCAGAGAAGGTGCGATATTCTAGCTCTATATATTGTAGGCATGTGGAAGAGCTCACGAACAATATCAGTTAATATTATGTTAGGGCTAACATCTACCCTTCAGGCAGAAAAATGCATTAGCATACTAGCATTACTATAGCTGCAGCAAAGCAAAACAACAAATAAAAATAACAAAATAAGCAACTGGCCTAAGGTAGGACCCGATTATCGGCTCCTGCCTAATGTTACTTGTGGAGGCGTGTGTGGCCGAGGCTCTAATACGTCGAAAAAAATAGAAAGCCTCCTGACAACACAAAGAGGCCTGCGGACGAGAGAGGTTAACACCACAGGCTGCTGCCTCGTACCCAGACGTCTCTCTTTATAACGTGCGCGCAAAGGAAGGCGGGAAGGAGACAACGGGCGAGACGTCTGGCAGATCTTGTTTTCAAGATGGCGGGAAGAGTAATGGCGGACGAACAGCCTCCTCCTCAGGCGCTTCGTTTTTCGCATGGCAGAGGCGAGCGCGAAAGGAGTGACTGGTTATGAACCGCAAGGGACCGCCTTCCTTTGCGCGCACGTTATAAAGAGAGACGTCTGGGTACGAGGCAGGCGGACGAATATGGGGTGTCCGGAAAACTAAGACCTAAGACCTAAGACCCGGAAAACTAAGACCCGGAAAACTAAGACCC